ACATTGAACTGAATGAAAATGAAAAGAAAATGTGTCAACATTGTGAGATGTATTTTGGGCAATGCTCAGAGGGAAATTGATAGCATTAACTGGTTATGTTAGAAAAGAAGACAGACCTCAAATCAACAATTTAAGCTTCCACCTCCAAAAACTTGAAGTAGAGGCAGAAGGAAGGAAATAATAAAGATAAGATAAAAATTAAATGAAATTAAAAACAATAGAAAAAAACAAAACTAAGCTAGTTCTTTGAAAAGATGAATAAATTGATAAATCTGTAGGTAGATTGACTAAGAAAAAGAGAAAGAAGACACAGATTACCAATATCAGAAATGAGAAATTTTACTGCAGCAGATAAAGCTAATAAGGGAATACATTGAATAACTCTCCCAGTAAGTTGACACTTTAGTTAAAATGAGCTAATTTCTTGAAATTTCAGAAACTCATCCAAGGAGAAATAGATAACCAGAATAGTGCTATATTTATTAAAGAAGTTGAATTTATAGTTAAAATCCATAAAAAAAAGCAGACCCAGATGATTTCATTGGCAAATTTCACCAAATGTTTAAAGACTAAGTCAAATCAATATTTTTCACATATAATCACTTCCAGAGAATGGAAGGAAACACTTTCAATTCATTTTATGAGGTCAGCTTTATCCTGCTACCAAAACCAGACAAAGACAGCTTAGGAAAAGAAAACTCCGTATCAGTAATTCTCAGGAACATAAATACAAAAATCTCAACACAGTTTTAACAACAGTAATATGTTAATGGTAAATATGTTAATATTAAAGGATTAATCACTTTTGCCCCATTATATTAACAGACCTACATGATTGTATCATTCAATTCTGAAAAAGCATTAAATTCAGCTAGAAATGCCATAAAATACTCTCATAACATCCACAAAAACTCTCATAAAGTAGAAGTAGCAGGCTTCCTTAGCCTGCCGAAGGGTGTCAGCTTAAATAAGGGTGTAAACTGAAGCAAGCCCAAATTACCAGAAATTGAGTTTGTTCGGGAATAACAGAGAAATTAGGATTTGGAATTACAATATAGGAAATGCATGTGTAGAAAGCTACAGGCAAGTCTATTGAGGGTTTTGGATGGGCTGTATTTATGGGCCAGGAATGCAAAGACGGGGCAGTTCATCTGGAATGTAGGGAGTATGTTCATTGGTTTGAGGATGGGGAGAGAGACTTGGCCAATATTCATTGTTCAGGAGAATTTGGTCCTTGTAAATGGAAATCAGTCTTGTGGCTCTTCTTACATTTCACTTTTTTGAGGGCATCCACATAATATTCTTCATTAAATACTCTGTAGTTTCATTTAAAGTCCTTTCACAAGGACATATACAAAAGCACTTACATCGTACTCACTAGTGAAGCCTCAGTGCTTTCCTCCTATGATCAAAAAATAAGACAAAGTTGTTCCTTTTCATCATTCCTGTTAGACCTTGTCTTGGGAGCCTTAGTCACTAAGGCAAGACAAAGAAATAGAAGGCGTACAGTTTGGAAGAAAGAAATGAAACTCCCTGTTTTCAAATAACACGATTCTATGTAGAAAATCCCAAAGAATCTACAAAAAAATCTAGAGCTAATAAGACAGACTAACAACACTGCAGGATACAAGGTCAGTACACAAAAATCTGTCATATTTCTATACACCAGTAATGACCAATTGGAAACTGAAGTTTAAAAATAATATTTGCATAGCACTAAAAATTGAAGAAATTAGAGATGAACATTGCAAAACATTCCTAGGATCTGTGCTGAAAGTTACAAAACATTGGTGGAAGAAATGAAAAAAGAACTAAATAGGCATACTGTGTTCTAGGAAGACTCATAGAGAAGACTCAACATAGTTAGGATGCCAGTTCTCCCCAGATGGATCTATAAATTGATACAATTCCAGTAGAAATTCTGGCAGGGTTTTTTTTGAAGCTAGATATAAACTGACTTTAATGTTTATATGGAATAAGAGTAACCAAAATAGTTTTGAAAAAGAAGAGTAAAATTGGAGGACTCAATTAGCCAATTCAAAGCTAAAGTTGACCACATTAAGGACATAAATTAAGTCCCAACCACATTGTAAATAATTTGTATTATACAGGAAATATTGTAATGTAATTGTAATATTGTAATGTATAAGCATAATGTAATTAAGTAAAAAATCAATAGCAAAAATGACTTAAAAATTTAAACATTTGGAAATTGAGAAGTTCAATGCTAGACAACTGATGGATCAAAGAAAAACATAACAGAAATAAGAAATTAGAAAATATTTAGACTTGAGTGTTAATGAAAGTCCTGCCTATCAAAATGTGTTGGCTAATCTAAAGTGATACTTAGAGGGAAATTTATAGGCACAAGTGCTTATATTAGAAAGGAAGAAAGGCAGAACACTACTGAGCTGGGAGGCCTATTTAAGAAGTTAGACGAAGAATAGCAGAATAAACAGAAATGAAATAGAAGGAAGGAAAGATCAAAGCAAAAATTAATGAAATAGAAAACCCAATGAAGAAACCAACAAAGTCAACATTCAATAGGTTTTTATTGTTAATTACCAATAAAATTGACAAATTTTGTCACAGGTTCCCGGAGGTTAGTAGCAACCACAAAATCCAAACATCCAAACATTTCCATATAATCTTCAAAAACATACCGAATCACAAGAACAAATAGCAATAGTCTTATAGCATAATAAACTTCCACATACACCAGAAAGGGAAATTAAGAGGGGAAATAAACATTTGAAATCAACAGAGTTAACTCCAGAGCCTATGCTATGGTAGAGACTCAGAGAAAGGGCAGATGACTACAAGGTTTAATGGCGGGGAAGCTTGGCCAAACCATTCCCAGAAGATAAGCGTCTCACCCTGAGTGGGAACAGTGAGGCATCAGAGAGCTGTGTACTGGGGAATTGAAGAAAGGAGCTTGAAAGCGTGGGATCAAAGGTGACAATCTTATGAGGAGCCATTTTTGTGGGCAACAGAGATGATTTAGAGGGAGAAGAATCCTTGGATGATTGATTGTGAAGAAAAAAAGGGAGCAAGTGGTGGAAATTGAGGGTCCAAAAGAAACTTCCCATTAAGGGCACTTCACTAACTAACAGAAAAGGACTTTCTTGAACTGAGAAACTTAGTGAATCCTTTACCCTTGTCTATATAGGATGACCTGTACATGCTGACCTATATAAAAAAGGAATTCTGTATGAACAGGTGATGGCAGGCAATATCTACAAAAATCAACTACAAAATAGAAAATGGGAGTCAAATAATTTCAGAATTCTTTCTTCCCAACCAATGATGAAGCAGAGAATTTAATATACATAAAGTATTTGCAGATAGGAAAAATCAAAACCCACCTCAAATCAGAAATTCCAAAGCTCAGAAATGAAGTGGACAAAAGGAAAAAATGGAAAGATGCAAAACAAGAATTCACAAAATTCAGGACAGAAGTAGAAGAAAAAGACAAGATATTCTTAGAAATGAAGAAAAATCACAAAATGCCTAAAAGAGAACTGATTTGGCTGAAGATGTAATACAAGAATGAAAATAGCCAAGGGTACAAAAAGAAAATGAAGAGATTGAAAAGATCCGAGAGAAACTGATGACTAGAGAAGGCAGGCAAAGAAGATTCAGCTTTTCAACCTACAGTCCCTGAAATACGCTAAAAATCAAAGAGAAGTAAAATGTAAAACTATAGTATAACAACACTTTCTAGAACTATGGTAAGACTGGAATCTATGTGTGCAAAATCTTACTCTGCACATGGAATATAGATCTGGAACTTGAAGACATCAGACTTTTAAGGATAAAGAAATATCCTCTGGGCAGTGAATACAAGTAGACCAATTCCCTTAAAGGAGAGAAGATCAGTTTGGCATCAAACTGATTAATAGCTACATATGAAGAGAGACAACAATGGAACAGTTCATGAAACTCATGGAAAGAAAGTATAAATCGAGGATTTTTAGATCTAGATAGTCATACAGGCTATAGAATAGTTTTAAACAAACAAGGACTCAGAATACCATTTGTAAAACTCATTCCTGAGTAATCTACCTGAAGACCATCATTATTTTAATAATGAGACCTGGGTTCTAGTCTTTCCTGGGTCACTTTTTTGTGTGACCTTGGCATGTCACTGCCTCTCTTTGTACTAGTGATTGACTTTGGGGTCCCTTTGGCTTTAACCCTGTTGGTTTTATTTGGTCCTAATAAAGATCCTCAGGCTATAGACAGGTGAAATGGAGTGTAAAGAGCAGGGTCCTATGGTCCGATGGACTTAGGTTGAATACTTTCCCTGCCCCACCCTTTCATCATCCATCCATCATTCATCCATCACCCATTCACCCATACATACACATATCTGTCATCCATCCACCTACTCATTAAATATCTGAGACCTCCCAATGTGCTAGGCTTACTGGTAGACTCGTGGTGTGCCAAGGAAATCCAGAGAGCTTACATACTGGTGGGGGAGACAGACATTTAACTAAATAATCATATAAATGTATTATCACAAATTGTGGTGAAGATTGTGAGGGAAGCATGCAGGAGTCCTTGAACTTGGGAAGAGGTGGGGAATGGAATGTCCTCCCTGAAAAATGACTGGGTAGAGTCTGGCAGGATGGGGGGTAGTTTCTAGGGGAAGGTGTTGGGACCAGAGGGGACAACATGGGCCAGGAGATCTGTGGTGGGAGGAAGTGTGTTGAGGGGAGTGTGGCAGGAACTAGTGGCCAAGTGATATAAGAGTGATGTAAGGTCCCAGAGTGAGGATGTGGTCCACCTGTGTAATAGCAATGGGAACACACTAAAGGATTTGAAGCAGAAAGACGTGGTTGTAATCATGTATTTAAGAGATCATTCTAACTGCATTGGGGAAAATGACTCAGTGGTGGGAGGATTAGCAAGAAAGGATGTGGGAATCATGTATTTGTTGTGTGGCCTTGGGTATGTCACTCAACTTCTCTAAGCTTTAATTTCCTGTCCTGTAGCATTGGACTGCTACTACCAACCTAAAGGATGCTGAGGATAAGAAGAAAGCAAGGGTGCAAAGTGCCTGGCATAGCAGAGGAAGCGCAACAACTGGCTCCATGTTTTCTATTAACTTTGACAAGGTGGAGTCTGAAAACTGGTTATGATGTCTTCTTTTCCTCTCCTCGCACTCCCTCTTTGGTCTTCTTCCTACTAACTTCCCCCTACCCCCATCCCTCTGCTTCTAGGAATGTCTGTGATGGGAACTGAAGTAACTTGAGTTTTAATATGGCAAGGTCATGCTCTGGATCAGAAACATATGTGGGGAGCGTGAGGTCCCATGAATTAGATAGGAGCGGGATCCCTGGGACTCATTACATCTTCCCACTCTTTTCCTTGTCAATATTTTTGAGGTTACAGCTCAGCACTGTCCAGATGCCTTCAAACGAGAATAAAAGCGTTCCATATAGAACTAATTTATGCAGGAAGCACAAATACTACAACAGGGAACCTCCCTATTTTTTTGTTTCTCTCTTGTGCACACACTTTTGTTTTTATTTCATTCCATGTTTTTTTGGCAGTATAAACTAATTTGAAGCTCCAGTTCGTTGAGCCCCATGGTGGTTAGAACTTTGAAAAAGCTCCATCTCCTCGCATTGTGAATGTGGAGACTGACAGCTGGAACGACTAGTCACTGCAGAGGCACAGTCTGTAGAGACTAGACTCGGCTTTACATGTTGATCTTTCTTTTATTAATTGAGGTTCAATCTACATATGAACTGTACCCTGTGCTCTTATCTTACACATATAGCAAAATAACATTTTGCAAATGTAACTAACACCCTAATCAAAATCAAGACCATTTCCAGTACTGTAAGAGTCTTCCTTGTATCCTCTTCCTAGACATTAGCATCCCTGCCCCCAGAGGTCACCATTCTTAACTTTATTGAAAGGAAATCTACAGTGTGTACTCTTTTACTCAATCTAATGTGCTTGCGATTCAATGACATGGTTGCTTGTATTTGTAGATTGTTTATTCTCATTGCTGTATAGCATTTCATTATATGAATATGCCACAATTTATTTTATCTATTATCCTGTTGATGGATGCTTGAGTTGTTTCATGTTTGGGGCTATTAGGAATGGTGCTGTTGGGAATACTCTCTAGCACAGGTGATTGAGTATATGCATGCACTCGTTTCTGTTGGGCATATGCATAGGCGCGGAATTGATGGGTCATAGGGAATGCGTATGTCAACTTCCATAGATGCTGGCAAATAGTTTTCTTAGGAATATGAACCATATTCCTTTCCCACCACCAACTAAATGTCAGAAATCCAGTTCTAATTTACTTTTTCAAGAAGTGTATAGGCTCATACAATCAAACCACATGATAAGGGAGGGTGCAGCTGCCTCAGAGGTAGAGGTCACCCTGCTGGGTCCTCTCTGCTTCTCTCTGTATGTCAACACCATTCTCTCTTATTGAAGACTGGTTTCTTCCATGTGCCAACCTGGCCTCATGTTTCAGAACTCCACTGATTGGCCCAACTTGGATTCTGTACCAACTCTTGATTGGCAGCTTCTTTTAGGACCACGAAACTATAGAAGGGGATAAGAAATTCTCCCACGGGCCTCCCCAATGGCGCAGCGATTGAGCGCTCAGTTGCAAAGCTGCCCGCAGCCTCTGCAGGCCGGTTCGATCCCTGGCTGCTCCCCGGCCACCGGGTGAGGGTCCCACATGGCGCGCAGACCTTTCCTGCCTCCCGCTGCTTCCCTCAGCAATGTATTTCGTCGGTCTGCCTGCTCTGCCCTCGCTCTGACTCTGGTGAATATTCTCACCCCCTCCCGTGCTTCTGACTGTACCCAGTGCTTGTATAAATAAATAAATAAATCTTTAAAAAAAAAAAAAAAGAAATTCTCCCACAAGACAGGCAGTGCTGTCCCCCGATTGCCGAAGGCAATCAGTCATCAGTAGAGAGAAGAGGTGCCTGGGTGAGGGGTCATGGAGGCCTGGTGACAGCTGTGTGCTCACTGAACCAGCATCACAGGTCAATGTGCCTTGCTCTGCAGGTGGCCGAATTCTGCTCCTGGTGACCCCATGCCATTCCTTGCCCCTTGGTCTCATTGGAACAAAGACTGCCACCCATGTGTAGGCAGTCCATAGGCTGGCCAGATACCCATGCCCTCACTCAGAAAATTATGTAATTGTTCCCACTGCCCGGATCAGGACCTAACTTGACCTAACTATAAGGAAAGGACTTGCAGGTGGTAACGGTACAAACAGATGTGGACCTCTGGGAAATGTTCCGCCACTGGGTGCCAGAGTTTGTCTTAGATCCCACATGGTCTCTCAGAGGTCTGGCCCTGGGGGGCGGGGTCCAGCTCAGATCTCTATACTCATCTGAGCTTGTGGTGGAATAATCACCATCACAACTCTGCCAATATGAGCTGGTTTAAAAGGGCCTTTGCTCCTTGCAAGCAAACCTACTGACCCTCAGCATTCTTAGTAATGTTCTTTTTATTTATCCATATAAGAACTGGATTGTAGGCCAGGGGTGCCAGGGGTGCGAGGATTCTCCGGAGACATAGTGGGGAGCAGAACAGGTGGATCTACTGAAATACACTGCTGAGGGGAGCACAGGAGAGTCAGGAGAGGTGTGCCGTGCCATGTGGGTCAGCTCCCTGGCTGGGGATCGAACTCATACTGCAGTGGCTGGCAATAGCTTGGTAGCAGTGAAACTTTAACCCCTGTGCCACCAGGGAGGCCCCTGAAGTAACATTCTTTTATAATATTATATAGGTTGCCAGTGTACAACTGTACAAATGAGCGTCTGTATATAGTATATTATATTTGCCGCCAAAAGTCTAGTTTCCATCCATCACCACACAACTGCCTGTTTGTATTCAGTCATCTCCTCTCCACTTCCCTTCTGGTAAACACTGTTTTGTTCTTATCATCTACGTATTTGTTTTGTTTTGTTTGTTCATTTGTTTTGCTTCTTTATCTAATGTCAGTGACATCATACACTTTTATCTTTTTCCATCTGACTTTTTATTATTTTTTATTGAAGTATAACATTGGTTTACATCATTGTTTGTGTTTTTACCTGACTTATTTCACTTACCATAATACCTTCTAGTCTATCCATGTTGCTGCAGATGGGAGGATTTCATCTTCTCTTCTCTAACCAAGTCGTAGGATGTGGTAGATGTACAGTCACGTGTTGTTTAACAACAGAGATACACTCTGAGAGATGCATCCTTAGGTGATTTTTGTTACTACGCTAATGTCATGGAGTGGGATGACAAAAAACTAAATGGTGTAGCCTCCACACGTGTCAGCTCTATTGTGAATCTAATGGCACTACTGTCTTATATGCAGTCTGTTGTTGACCAAAATTTCATTAACTTACTCATGAGGGTATACCCCAGCTTCTTTATCCACTCATTCACTGGTGGGTGCTGGCGATTGTGAATACTGCTGTGATGAACATGGGGGTGTACAGTTCTCTTTGAACTAGTCTTTTCATATTTTCCAAATAAATACTCAAAAGTGATAGCTGGATCTTATTATTTCTATTTTTTTAAAGATTTTTTTATTTATACAATAGCTGGGGTACAGGCCAGAAGTGCAGGAGGGTGAGAGGATTCACCAGAGACAGAGTGGGGAGCAGGACAGGCAGATGGACTGAAAGCACTGCTGAGGGCAGCAGCAGGCACGACAGGAGAAGTCTGCCGCGCCATGTGGGAATCTCCCTGGCCAGCCAGGAATCAAACCCGCACTGCAGAGGCTGCGGACAGCTTCACAGTACTTTTCTCAACCCGCTGCACCACCGGGGAGGCCCTTATTATTTCTATTTAGTTCTTTTAGGGATCATCATATTCTTTTTCCTAGTGGCCACATCAGTGCACAAGAGTTCCCTTTTTCCACACCTTCTCCAACACTTGTTTCTTCTTTTTTATTTTAAAGAGTAGCCATACTCACGAGGTGATAGCTTACCCTGTTTGATTTGTATTTCCCTGATAATAAGAGTTGATGAACATCTCTTCATATGCTTATGGGTCATCTGTGTGTCTTGGCTCGAAATATTTTAAAATCAAGGTCCTTAGGTACTTCATACAGAAAATCAGTTGATTTCAATGGAAACAAAGACAAGCTTTTGGAACTTTATTCCAGTGGGGCGCTCTTTTTGTGCTATAATACCTGACATTGTTGAACATATACTTGCAGATTCCCTTTCAAAGTTCAGCACTGAAGATAGGATTATTTGTGCTTGCAAATATGAATATAAATTTCAGTAGATAGAACACAGCAGCATGGTAAAAACATTATTCATATCCAATTAGGAGATCCATGAAGCAGAAATGAACTTGGAATTGGTGGAAGTGCACATATAATTGAAAATTGGAATAAAACAAGCTGTGATGGTATATCATTTGAAGTAGAATTGGTAGTTATTTATATGTATACACACATATGTAAAGACTAATTATGCTACCATATTTGCAACAAAGCTGATATTAAGTAGAAATCATGTTTCAGCATGACAACAGGGCCAGGGCTAACATGAGAGGAGTGAGGTGCTAGTCTCGGGAAACTAAAAGGGCACACCAAAAACCAAAATAATCCAGACACAGCGATATTTTCAACATCAAAATTAATGCAGACATCTATGATGAAGAAAATATCACATTTCTAAATAAAACCAGGATGAGAATCATCAATTTTTCTTTTTGCCTCAGTCTCTGATATGACTTGGCCCAGTCTGCATGGCAGCATGTTTTCTTTTTGCTATTTGTCATCATTCAGCTTTTTAAAATGTTATTCTTCCCCACGCCTGCCCATACTATGCTCTTTGGAAGGAAGAGTGAGCATAGTGTAAAATGTTCTGGGAATACCCCTCCTCCCTGCTCTAGAGACAGGAGAGCAAAGCCATCTGCCTAGACTTGACATCTGTGACACCACTATGCCAAATTTGCTGCCTTCAGGTAAAACCAATCTTTTCAATCTCCCATGAATGACTAAGAAGCAGGATAAAGAAGATTTAAATAATATGTACCTAGCCTTTGTATCACCACAGTGCATTCTTCAGAAAGGAAGAGATTAAATCCCAGCGTTGCCTACCTCTGTGCATAGATAGCA